CTGTGACAGAGTAAAAGATCATATCATAATTTTAATTTTTTGTTGAACCATTTATTTCAGAGTAATTAAAACAAAGATAAATTTTGTTTCTTTTTCCCTCTAAAAATAGAATACAAACATAATGTGAACCTAATAAGGGACAAAGGCGATCAATTCAAATGTAAGAGAATTTGAAATGACATTCAAGATATATATTAGAGACATAGTAAATTCGAGGAAATTTATGTGAAAAATAATATTAATTGTCGCTGTTCATGAAAATAACTATTTAAAAAATAAATAAATAAAACACAATGTGAAACGACCGAAAATAAATAAAACCGAATGGGAAGCGATTTTGTTTTACTAATAAATAAATAAGTGAGATTTTCTGAAGTTGGAATCCAACGACGAAAATGTTGGATTCAAAATATAATTATTTTATAGGGTTCATTGGCACGCATCAATAAAATATTGGCAATTGATTTTCTTTGGACTTAGCTTCGAAACATTTTTTTAAGTATAAAAGTATTCACTTGAATATATTTCCTTTCTCAATGAAGTTTTGTTCTTGATTCAAAAAAGAAAAATTATTAATTATACTTTTTAAAGGAAAATAATAATAATAATAATAACAACAACAAAATTTTGTTTTCCAATTAAATAATTGTTTGAAAAATTAACAAAATAATTTCTATTTAAATGTACCTCCGCACTTGAGATATTCTTAATATAGTATAGCAGTCCTCTCCTCTCATACTATGAAAATATACTTTCAAGACTCTAGATTCATTTTAATGGACAACGAACATCAACTATATATGTGATGCCTTCACATTTATATAATTAATATATGCATCTTTAGCCTTGCCATGATCAACCTACAAAGTTGAACATGTTTATCTATAAAATAAAATAAAAACACTCACTGTACATCATATGATTTCATATCCACTCATTCGATCAACTAGAAATAGATTTTTCTCTAGAAAATAGAGACTGTGAAAAAATGATACTATAATTATAATTCACCCTTTCTACAAAACATATCATTTATAAAACTCAAATATTATCTTTCTTTTAACATTTAGTAAATAGTATAGAATTATTTTTTTTAATATCAATATATAATTGATGCAATTGAAACTCTCAAAAGATTATTGATGAAATTGGCAAATGAGGAACACAATTAAAATAATTAAAAACAAATAACATTGCAGAAGTCTACTAACTAAAATTATAACAAAATGAACCATACCATTAGACGTGGGCTATAAGATTTTTTGGATCCAATTTAATTATTTGGATCACAAAACTTGTTTAACTCAATCAATCCTTCCTAATTAGACAATAGATCCAATCCAACTCAAGTCTAAAATATTGGCTAAATTAAGTCAAGTTATTTGAGTTATTTGTTCAAAATTTAAGTGAAAGAAAATATTGAGATTATATAAGTCATTTAAGCATCAAGTTGAATTAAGATTAGTAATAAAATGCAAATTTTTTTATTTTAGGAAGAATTATACTCTTGACGAAAATTATCAGAGAGTAGAAATAAACAAAATTAAAATATATTCTCTCTCAAACACAGTGCATATTTTTCGTATGTTTCCAGTTTCCACCAAATATAAAAATGAAAAATATAATCATAGAAAAATAGAAAATAGATGATTACTAGAAGAATGATAGAAAAAGTTTAGTAAATAAGCATAATTCAAAATAAAACATAATTAAAAATCAGAAACAAAAACATTATCAAACACGTAAATCCTCAAAATCATATAAACTTAAAAAAAAAAATGAAGGAGATAAATTTTTATTGAAGATTTAAAGTATTTCTCTCTCACGCAACAGACCATTAATATTTTACATAGCCTTCAAGAAAAGAAAAACTCTATACTCTCGAGTCTTGCCCCGACCAAACTATTTTAATTATTATCCATAAACCCTAGTTCCACAAATTAAATAAATTAATTATAAGCTTAAAAACATATAATCCATGCATTTGATTAAAACCCAGCTATATTTATATATTAGCTTTGAAAATGGATAGTAACGATATATCATATATATATTATATATTATATATATATATATCCACAATTATAAACCTGTTTCCATTATGTTTTAGTTGATCAACTTCACATGCCCAAAATCTCTAGAGATCGATAATATGTAATATATTTTGTGAGCCAAGAAAGCCTCTGTTTTGAGATATTCATTAATTAACATAAGATTTGAAATTATTGATGCAAACAAATTTAATGGTCTAGCAACTCAAAATAGTGACATCTGTATCTGGTAGAACAACCAAACCAAAATGTCTTCGCCTCTCAAGTCACAACTTAACTTTCTTTCTTTTTTAATTTATTATTATTAAAGAAAAACCCATTTATGTAGTTGTGTGTCATGTTAGAAAGTTTGGTGTCCCACTTTGAGTTAAAAGTTAAAGGGCAGTTAGTTTAGTAAGTGAAGTGGATTGGTGTAATAATCTATAATATTTCATTCATTTTCGTGGTGCATTAAGTCATCATTATTAACGGGTTTAGTTCACCCACTTAACTTAATCACATTTTGTGTTTAACTAATTCACTTCCCCACCACTAAGCTACATACACCAACATATAGCCCTAATTTCCTTTCTCAATTACCCCACACATCACAAAATTAGAGTTTAAAACTTCTAATCTAGTTAAAATTGGAAAGAGAAAAGAGTGGGACAGAACGAGGTTTGATTGCACCTACCTTAAAAATTATTTCACGACATCAAATATTGTAGGATCCCGTAAAATTAGTTGAGGTGTACATAAGTTGA